CAGTATCAAGCAGATCATCCATAACGTATTCTGTCAAAATTGGTGATAGAACAGATCCCATAGGACAACCATGTGTCTGAGAATATATTTTGTTGTTGAAAGAGAAGTAGTTATTATGAAAGAAAAATGTTATAATGTTGGTGAAAGATTCTAGAGATATGTTGCAGTGTTGACTTATCTCATCCCAATGCTTATTTATAGTTCTAGTACATACATCCAAATAGATATTACTGAATAGCGACACCTCATCAAGACTGGCGATAATGTGATCAGGTGGTATTGGCAACTATAGGGGTTACTGAGAGTATAGTATTTTTGGAAGTGCATAGAATTTAGGAGGGACTGAGTTATAAGTAAGCAAAGTTCTTTTTTGTTCTTGGGTTATAAAATAATAATTGTTAATTGTTAAATTCAATTGTCCATCTCATTAACAATATAGTTTGTTCAACTGCCTCTGGTCTGTTGACAAGTTATTTAACATATCTTGATAAATCACACCATCTGAAGTGATTTGGCGACATAGCACACATTTAGAAATAATCTCATATACTATTGTAAGTAACTTAAAATAATTTTGCACATTAGTTGCTATTTCTTCATGTTATTGCAGCTCCTGATGATGATGGCAAAGTCCATTGAAAGCTAGAGACTAATAAAGTATAAAGAGTCCTCATTGCTTGAATTTTGTCGAAGTACCCAACTAAAGGCGGAAACTTTATCTTTCACCTAACTGGTCTAGACGACAATGACCACGGGTCAAGTTATATATATATATATACGTAGTCGTGCCATAAGTTCTGTCCCATGATAATCTCATGATAAAAATGAAACAAGATAAGATATATTTATATGAAAGATATTATTTATTCGACAACATTTTTAGAATTCATAATCAAACAGTTTTATTCAAAATGTCCCCCCTTGGCCTTTACACACTGCTTCAATCTCGCGGGCCACTCATCTATCACTGCACGCACAGCTTCCAAAGGAATAGCTGCCGCTGATCGGATCAAATCCGCTTTCAGGGACTCGATATTACGGTGGGCTTTGGAGCAGGCCAACTGCTCTAGCAGGTCCCACAACTTGTAGTCTAAAGGATTGAGGTCCGGACTCCCTGAGGGCCAATCTTCCGCAGCAATGAACTCTGGCACATTGCTTTCCAGCCAGCGCTGCGTACTCTTAGCCTTGTGAGCGGGGGCGGAATCCTGCTGGTAGACCCAGTGTTGGTTGGCAAACAATGTACCACTTAAAGGCTTGACGATAGGATCCAGTATGTCGCTCTGATAGTTTGCCGCTTTTGTTTTCACGCCCTGTTTACAGAAATGGAGCTGAGTGACCCCTTCGTAGGACACCCCCCACCAAACCATGACTGACGCAGGGTGGTGGCCTCTCTCAACTCTCGGAATGATCTCCGAAGCTTCCTGTGAACTCCTTGCATACACTTTGTCATTTTGTCGGTTGAATTTTTCTTCTATGGTGAAGATTTTCTCATCCGTGAACAAAATCTTTCGGAATCCCCCAGCTGCGTACCTCTCCAAGAGCTTCTTGGATCTTGTCGCCCTGATGTGTCGCAAGGTGGCCGTAAGTCGCTGGCCCGTACGTCTCCGGTAAGCCCCTAGCCCTAGGTCTTGTTTAATGATGCGCGACATCGTCCGGACAGGAATCTTCATTTCCCTGGATAGGATCTTCTGCTTCCGGAGTGGATTCCTTTGAATCCTGGCTTTTACGGCTTTGATGGCTGCTGGAGTCCTTACTTGACGAGGTCTTCCGCTTCTTGGCCTGTCATCAACAGAGGAAGTCTCATTGTACCGCTGAATGGTCCTAGACACAAATTTACGCGATATTTGAAGGCCGCGTAAGAGTTCAAAAATCTGACTAGCACTGTGATTACACTTATGTAAAGCTATCACTGCAATACGGTTCTCTGCCTTGCCCCACTCCATCGTTATGCTTCGAGAGATCAATACAAACAGGTATATGTAATTACCCGAAAAGCGCTTAATCAACTGACACCACAATGTAAACAATCGGACAAGTATTAACAGGTCTACACTTGTTTGAAAACGAGGGACAGAACTTATGGCATGACTACGTATATATATTATAATAAAAGTAGGTATATATATGTGTGTATTTAATAACAAAAAGTAGGAAAAAATCCGCAAAAAGGAGGAAAGTAAATTCGAGCAGAAAATAGGATAGGTAACCCGAGCGACACGTATTTCGGTTGGTTGGCTTCATTAGGCCCGAAATGAATGTACATATGCAACTACAAAAGTAGATTTACATGCCCACACATCCGGATACGGGTGTAACCTGAGGAAACGACGATGGAGATGGAAAAAATGACACACGAAGTCTACAACAAGAGCCAACCTACACATTGTAGTATAAAATGGCTACAAGACCTCGAATTTTCAAGAGGACATCTAACCACAACCACACGGCCGGTTATAGCCACTTGCTGTGATTCTTCAAGCCCAAAGAATCTACAAAGAGAAAATGATCATGCGAATAAAAGTATATAACAAAAAGTAGGAAAATAATGGGCAAACTCCGCAAAAAGAAGGAAAGTGGCTTCGAGCAGAAAATAGAATAAGTAGCCCGAGCGATACGTATTTCGGCTAGTTGGTGTCATCAGGCTCGAAATGATCCAGAACATAACATAACATCCCACAGGAGTGATTCCAGATTGCATCCAGAAAGATGTGCTTTGGCGTCACATGTAAACACAATAGGTCACTCGATGTGCTATAACAATATCAAGGTCCTTGATAAGGAAGAACATCTCTCTAAACCCTTACTCTTAGAAATGTCACACAACTTCATGACTGACAGATGTATGAACAATATTGCGAAAATTGCGATTACACATTTCTCCCAATATTGGTTCGTCACACTAACAGATAAAACAGTTACAATACGTAAAACCAACAGGTTTTCCAATAAAATAATATTTTCCCATTTTTTCTCCATTACAGGTCTTTGATTACATCAACCAATTTTGCCAAGTGGTGACTCTTAATTTTACATCAACAATATGATTTACTAAAAATAATTTTTTCAAAATAGCTTCCAAAACTTTTCTATTACGTTCTGTACTAAAACTAACGCTGGTTGTGGTTAGATGTCTCCTTGAAAATTCGAGATCTTCTAGCCATTTTATACCAGAATGTGTAGGTTGGCTCTTGTTTGTGACTTCGTGTGTCATTTTCTTTCCCTCTCCATCTTTGTTTCCTCAGGTTACACTCGTATCCGGATGTATGGGCATGTGTTTCTACTTTTGTAGTTGCATATGTGTATTTATTTCGAGCCTAATAAGTCAACAAGCAGAAATACATATCGTTCGGGTTACCCATCCTATTTTCTGCTCGAATTCACTTTCCTTCTTTTTGAGAAATTTGCACATTATTTTTCTAATTATTATATACCTTTTTCTGCATGATCCTTTTCTCTTTGTAGATCAGTTGGGAATGGAGAACTCCAGCAAGTCACTATAACCGGTCGCGTGGACAACCACAAGTTAGATGTCGCCTTGAAAATTTGAGGCCTTCTAGTTATTTTATATTACAATAATGTAGGTTGGCTCTTGTTTGTGACTTCGTGTGTCATTTTCTTTACCTCTCCATCTTCGTTTCCTCAGGTTACACCAGTATCCAGATGTATGGGCAGGTTTATCTACTTTTGTAGTTGCATATGTGCATTCATTTTAGGCCTGACGAAGCCAATAAGCAGAAATGCCTATCGCTCACAACGGATTAAAAAATTGAACATTGATTGTTAAAATTTTCGCTATTACATCGTGACGAAACAATCTTGCTGCTTCTGTGTAATTTTTCAAGACAATGTCAATCAAATGAATATGCAAAAATCATAACCTCCAACTAAATCATTCAAAATCAAAAGTGATTATTTTTTCGCCTAAGCCTTTCAGAAATCATGTTAAAACAACTTCAATGTTAGTTTAGATGGTGCTGCTACCTAAGTTGGTGAATCAGTCAGAAAATTGGAAATTCTTTTTTATGAGTGTCTCAAGTTCATGTAAACAAATATTATTAAAAAATGATTTTCGATCTTACGTCAGTTATATCTGAATAAGCAAATTCTCGATTATCAAACCGAAATAATTTGAGAAAATATGACCATATAAGCGGTTCTTTGGGAGACTTGGTATGGTTGAAGGTGAGAAAACTATATGAGTTACACCTATTAATTTACACGCATACGCTCTTGCTTTCTTCGATTCTCTCGATTTTAAAGAACAAGCTGATCCGTCTAAATCCTAATTTTTTCATAAGTGCTTCACATATAACGCCGTTACACTTTATTATATAATGACGTAACTCAGGCATTCAAATCACTAAATTACAATGCATTCAAAAAACAAATCAATATATTTTAGAAAAATATTGTGAACCAGCATAGTTTGACCCCCACTTCGCAGAATATTTCCTTTCCGGTGTACGTTCATATGCATAGTTGAATTTTCATTATTTGCTGTGACTACAATATTATATACTTAGGTATATCACTTTTACATGTTTATAATTATTTTATTTTCAAGGGTTAAGTGGAAGAATAGCTTCAAGCGAAACTTTGAACTCAATAAAAACGTTTATTATTATTAATTATTATTTGCTTGTCCATATTATGTAGAGCATAGTAAGGGTAATTCACAAAAGAAATTGATAGTGACATTTTAATTTTTGAAAATTTTTAATTTACGATATTTTGATATATAAATCACTTTGAAAACTTAAAAGTGGCTTGTTTAATACTTCTTCCGTAAACTAACGAGCTTAGACGTGTGATAACTTAGGGAAATATTTCTCTGGAGAAGCTGATTTTATGGTAAAAATATCAACCCATCTTTCTTGAGGGGCATCTGACCCATGCTTATCCAGCTATACTCTTTGTAAACTTACTACATATATGATTTACGATGTATAATGAACGCTTTGTCAGTTCATATGTGTTCACCCATTTTGTCAAACTTTAAGGCATATTCGCCCGAAACCGGAGGATCTGATTTGGTGTCTATAGGTAGCACAGAAGAACATGGTTTTCTTATCAATCAGTTGAATAAACTGGATCCCCAACACAGGCGTTGGTACATTGGTAAGTAAATAATCTAAGAGTATCCGATAAAAATATTAAATTTTCTAAGTGCAGTAGTATCCTTTATAACTCTATTAAAATTATTCTATGCATTTGATAGTAAAATATCTGTATAATAAATCAGTAGTAAAATACTAATGGTAAGAAATGTACTGAAATAATAGCATCTTCTTTTAATTAGAGGAAAACTTTTATAGTCACCGTCAATCTAGAACATTTCATTGATTAGCCTACAGTATGTATGAATTTCTTATACTTTCAGGAGCGCATCAACAGTCGGCAAGCTACTATACCAACCCTGATGGTACTCAATTCGTATCTGCTGAAAACTCAATATTAGCAGTTGATTTACCTTATGGAAAAGACTACTTAGCGTACAACTTCTCAAGGTAAAATATACATTGCTAGCCCATACAAAGTGAATTTTTAGTGTGTAATCGATGATCCCGAGGAAATGTTGTTATTCCCATTTTTGAACTGCATAAGGTTAGTAGAACTGGGAAAAGTTTCCTCTTGTAGATTGTTCCACAATCTCGACACCCTAGGGACAAAGGAGCGGTCGTATCGGCCAGATCTGGATGTACGAAGTTCGACACCAGTAGGATGCGAGGCCAAAGTCATGCGGGTCTGTCTGGCAGGCACATCGCGTAGCGGCATCATGGCAGAGAGCTCTGAGGAGCAAAGCTCGTTAGTGTAGCGGTAGAAGAGAGCTAGATCGCCGTCGCCCAGCCGGTGCGACAGGGTTTCCGAGACTGTCTGTTAGAGAAGAGTCATCGATCAGTCGGACAGCCCTCCCCTGGACAGCATCTAGCATAAATAATGTAGTCGGGGCGGCAGCACCCCAAACGTGTTAGCAATACTCTAGGCTACACCTTATCTGGGCCTGGTATAGAGTGAGAAAAGTACTCAGCCCTAAACAAATAGCCTAGTTTATTCCCAGCAGCTGCCGTTATTGACGAGATGTGTTCGTGCCAAGTCAGGTCCTCGGTGATCTGGACTCAGAAATGAATCGCTCTTTGGCAGAACTCTGCCATCCATCGACACCGGATGAGCGCTAGGATACTTTTTGTTCGACAAGGTACAGTACTGTGTTTTGGAAGCATTAAGCCATGTACAGATATGTAACAACACCGCGAACCGATCCACGCGACGAACCGCAGTGCGCGCATTTTGACGAACAACATTGCAACGAACATCACCACAAACCGAACGAAGTCGTGAAACCACATCGCGCAACAAAATGACCATCCAATTTTGATGTTTGTCGTTCAGTGGCAGACTAATACTAGTGGAAATGAATATAGAAGTAGCAGCAGCTGCATATATTTATATTCAATTCGCTCCGAATTATCCAAAAACAAGCGATGACGACGTCCGAGACGATGGTGGCAAACGAAGTTATATACCAATAGATCAGCACACGGTTGCAACAAAATCTTAGCGGAATTGAAATTTTAACAAGTAAGTGGACAGTACAACAAGGATGTCTCCGATAGACTTTGAATATCTTGTCACGTTGATTGGACCAAAAATACGTCGACAAGATACAAAATGGAGAGCTACCATCACAGTACAAGAAAGACTTGCAGTCACGGTGCGATTTTTAGTGACCGGTGATTTACACAGTAGTTTGCAATACATGCTTCGAATTTCAAAGCAATCGATCAGCTACATCATTCCAGAAGTTTGTGGGGCATTGATCGATATTTTAAATGTAATTATACAAGTAAAAAAAATAATTAGTTTACATTACAAAATAACACACTGGTGCTCGCCGCATCGGTATGTGTGTCCAAACATGTGAAACTTCGTCGCCAGCCGTTCCTTTGATGTTGCGCTGAAAAACCGACAGAGCCTGGATCGGGCTGAACGGCGAGCTGCAACGCTAATTAGGTTCGCGACGGCGTTCTTTTCACCGTCTACACTAGCGCGGCGCAGTTCATCGCGTGGTTCGGTTCGCGGTGCTGTTATATATCTGTACCTGGCTTTAAATTGTACAAGACTGTTGCGTCCCCAAGCAGTGATAATCTCCAGGTCTCTCGTCAGAGAGGAAGTCGTCGCTAGTCTTCTTTTTTCCGGCTCAGCGACAGAGTCTCTCTGAATTCCTGCATGTAGAGTGCTGTGATCAGCGAAGCTGTGGATTGGGTTGATCGTGTACGAAAGGAAGTCGTTGATATGTAAGAGGAACAAGTGTCGGAGCCAAGACCGATCCCGTCAATTACGACGGATATCTTGCGGCCAGAGATAAAGTTAGCCACCCATCTGCAAAGGTTTTCTGGGAGGCCACAGGATGGAAATTTGCTTAAGAGGACAGCATGCCACAGCTGATCGAACGATTTCGTGATGTCAAGAGCAGCGACATGAGCCTCACCATAAGACTGGATGAGCTTACTCCACAATTGACGTAAGCTAGGAGATCTCCTGTGGATCGCTGGTGCCGGAAAACATACTGACTGTCGCTAATCAAGCTGTGTCGTTCGAGGTAGTCCAGAAGCTCGCGATTTATGCACCTCTCCATTATTTTACTTATAACAGAAAGCAGAGCTATAGGCCTGTATAGTGAGTATACCGTGAAACGCTTTTTCAACTGAAGTTTCTTATAATACCATGCTATAAGGTTTGAGTCGCCTCTTATGCAGCTACGGGATATTTTGTCCGAAAAACCGCTCGACCTTGACAACTTGTAACTTTGTCACTTTTGCAGATAGAGTAATAAACTTTTCGTTGAAATGAGCTTCATATGGGTGTTTATAAACACAAAGTGTACTTTTTCTCGAAAAGTGCCCTGTATATTTTTACGGTTTTGGATTATCCGTTTGAGTTATCTGGAGTTTTCCAGAAATTACAATTTAAATACCACAAGATTCGTAGAAACGGGGATTTTTAGTGGGTGACTACAAGCCTTCATCGAAATTACCTTACTTAAATGAGTAAATATAGGAAATGAAGCTCGTTGCAACAAAAAGTGTGCTACTTTGTCTGAAAATTGAGAAACTTATGTGAAGGGTGCTGGTAATAAAAATACTAGAGGAGCTACAATCACTTGAAATTTTAATGCTTTCTAGTCACCACACAATACAAATATGCACAACCATAATCCTAACGTGACATAACTGTAATATGATATAAGGTTGATATAACTGTCACCACCGACCCAGGACAACTGTACAACAAATGTCTAAACAAGAACATCCTTATAATTAAAAGAGACCGGGGTGAAAACTCCTCCGCCAATACCCGTGGGAGACTTAGGCAAAAAATAAATTTACAAGAAATAGGTGCATCGGTGCTCAATGTGAGACAGACGAAAAAAGGTGGCAGAGAGAGTGAAACACTCCAACATACAACAATAAATGACGTCAAGTAGATTGTTAGATTATTAGATGAAACAAAGTCAGAAACGGTATGAGGCTGAATGGTACCACAGTAAGATGAAAGCCTTAAGTTATTGACCTTAAGTGAGATGCTTTACACTGTGATCGTTCCTGTAGCCAGAGATATTGTGTAAAAAGTACTTTTGGTTTTTAGTAATGGATTCCGCATATTGGTACTTTGAAAGTAAACGCAAATTTATGGCAATCCGAAAGTTGTCTTTGAATTAGGTAGATACAAATTTATTCTAAGGCGGCGAGAAAGTTTATGTGTGGGCTTATCATGAGTGGGAGGTATATATATATAACTTGAGACGTGGTCATTGTCGTCTAGACCAGTTAGGTGAAAAATTAAAATCCTATACGTAAACAACAATTAGCAACATCCTCACATACTACTGTAAGTTGAGTCAATTTAAATTCATTTTACACTTTTGTTGCTACTGTTATCATTGTAATTGCAGCTCCTGATGATGATGGCAAAGTCCATTGAAAGCTAGAGAGAATTAAAAAAAGTATAAAGAGTCCTCTTTGCTTAAATTTTGTCGAAGTACCCAACAAAAGGCGGAAGCTTTAATTTTTCACCTATATATATATATATATATATATAGTACGTGCCTGCCTTACTGGTTTATTATTAGCAACTTAATGTGGGAAAGCGTAATCCGAGCAATGACCTCATTCGTGAATTTTATTATCGTTTGAGGATATTGCCTCAGAAATACGGATAATATAGGTAGCTTTGAAACTGCAAGTCATCACAGTATACCTGTGGGTTTTGTTCCACACAAACATTCAAAATTCTCTCGCAAATAGGTACCTCTTGAATGTTAGAAGGAAATCACCCTCATATGAAAAGTTGACAAAAGTAGTTCCTATCTATTATGCACAAGTCACAAAGTTTTCTCGCTGGATCGTATATCTTAAATTTCTCACACTTCACTTTGCTTTTTTGATAATCATCTGCCTACGGTAAAGAAAACAGTTTATAGCTCACAGTAAAAACATTGTAAACCATAATTTCTAGGGTTTTTATAAGATAGTAACCCAAATGGGAAGGTGCTACCATCTAGATGCAAAGTCAGTACTTGCAGTCTCAAGACTACGGCTCTGATCTTACATGAAAAATAACCCTCTGAAACACTTACTCCATTAACAAGTGCTACCTTCTAGGCAATTTCATTCCCTGAGCCTTATCGCTTGAACCATTACTCTTCAGATATCACATGAAATTTTTTCCTCCAAACTTTGCATGACTTGCATTTTCAAAGCTATCTACATTATCTGTATTTATGAGGCAAGATCCTCAAACGATAATAAAAAACACGCATGAAGTAATTCCTCGGAATGACCAAGTTTTCCCACATTAGGTTGCTAATAATAAACCAGTAAGGCAGGCACGTACTGCCTTCCACTCATGATAAATCCACACATAAACTTTATCGCCGCCTTGCAATAAATGTGTATCTATCTAATCTATCTAATTCGAGAAAAACTTTCGGATTGACATAAATTTGCGTTTACTCTCAAAGTTAACAGTATGCGGTATCCATTACTAAAAACCAAATAAAGTTCTTTTTACACCATATCTGTCACTACATGGGACAAGTTTTCCCATCAAGCTTCACAAGTTCATTGCGGGCAGTCTCAAATTGACGTTTTATAGGTTTTTACATACTACCCGTGCCGAAAGGCATGTATATAATATTAGGTCACGTAACACTTTTGACATAGAATCCGCTTGAACATCCCATATGCAAAAATGTCTTTTTAGTGATGGTTTGAGACTTTTTAATGGACAGGAATGAGTGAAGCGACGTCTGTAAATATATTTAATCGTAAGGTTAAGCAATTGTACCTAGATAAAATGGCATAAGATATGTACTTTCTGTGTTAAGATAATAATTGTATGCTATTATCTAGCATTTGCTGTGGTTGCATTTACTGTGATTTTAGAAGAATTTAGGATCACTATTTTTTTTTGTTTTTTACTTGAGTAAGACACTATTATAAACTAT